TCTCCTGCAGCTCTCCTCCAGACCTCCTGCTTGGCACCTTGTGGGCTTCCTTGGAGGAGAACTGAAACAGGGTAATGGAGCAAGACATGGGGTGGGGGTGAATGGGTAAAAGGGAAGAAACTGGAGATAAAAACATTTTGATGATGAAAAGAAATGCGCAAAGGCAATGAAGAGGAAATGCCTGTACGTGAAAATACAGGCATCCTGCCAGCAGCTTCATTAAGCCAGAGATCCAAAGAGGGAGAAGCTCTCCCCATCTATGCTGGCAGAAGGGCCATGCTGTAGACCCTGTCATTCAAGGAATTTCAATTGGCAGGCTCCATTTCTGCCCTCCTCTGGAACATCGTGCCCCCCAGGTGAGATCTGCACCCATCCTTTTGGCCTTCCAAAAGGCCTTTTTAGATGTGGCTGTGCCAACTAACCTGGGCCCCCAGTGGGGCTGTGAGAATCTGAAGGTGGCTAATGGAGTAGAGGACACACCACTTCCCCCCTACGCGCACTTTGCTCCACAGAGGGAGGGAGCAATCTCTGCCAGAGCTTTGCTGGCACTGATGCCATGCTAGCATCAATCTGTGGTCACCGATGTCCTCTTCTCCCCTTTTCTCCTACGCTTAACCCAGGATACATTGCTGAGAGAAATCAAAAGAATTCAAAAGTGAAATCCAAAGAATCATTCAAAATTCTTCTGATCCCACTGCAGTTTTGATGAGCTTCATATTTGAATGTCAAAGTTCACCAGGTTTATATGCTTATAAGTTTAATCCTATTAGAAGCTTAAAGTCCACCGATACGAAACTAGCCATGTCATTATTTGCTACAGAACCAAAGAATGATAGAAGGTGGAGTTGCAACAACTCTACTCCAACCACCGGCCCAGAGGCCAAAGCTATTTATTTATTTATTTTCATTTATCTCGCTCACGGGAATCCATTCCACTCCTGCAGGGTCCCCTGATGGATACCCCTCCTCCCCCCATGAAGGAGAGCCTGCTGCTCCCTTCCTAAATCCACTTCCATGTAAGGGGAGCCTCTTGCACCTTCTCCCATCTGCCCTGCCTTCTCTTATGGCAGCATATAAATTTAATTAATGAATAAATAAAGATCTCCATCATGTAGTCCAGAGGTTTTCAAACTTGACAACTTTAAGACTTGTGGGCGTCCACAAGTCTTAAAGTTGCCAAGTTTGGGGACCCCTGATGTAGTCTTTCCTTCTCCAGGCTCCACCTTCCCAGACTGCCAACTGTTGCACTTCAGCTTTTTCTTCCAAGCCCTACCTCACTCTGGCTGCTCTCCTCTGACCAGGTGCTTCTCCACCTTGGTGACTTTAAGATGGACGGACCGGCCCATGCTGGTTGGGGGATTCTGGGAATTGAGGTCCATCCATTTTAAAGCTCCCATAGTGGAGAAACGGCTGCTCCCAAACCTTCCCCAGTTGGTCAATGATCCTCCTGAGACGTGGCTGTTTGAACATGATGATTTATTTATTGCTGAGCTTATCAAAATACTTATCGCATAGGCGTACTTGAGGGTTAGGAAAAAGGCTGCGTTGCTAATCGGTGCTGCCTGTTCCATCCGGTGAGCCAAGAGCCTCTTTGACCCTGAAGGGCAGACCCAACTTCCACCCCATGGCCTGAGGCTGCGGGTTCAATGTCAGCAGATGGGGGGGGGGCTTTGCAGAGGCTCCTGGAGGTGGCTCTTCTCCACCCTTGTGGGGTACCTCTGTTTCCCGGCCCCTTGAGGGGAAGGCGCTCAGCCTGCAACGGTTTTTCTCTCGCGTCTGCCTTCACTTTGCTTCCCACAGAAAATGCATTAAGGACGGGAAGAACGAACAGTTATGCCACATCCTTAATTGGCAGCATTAGGAAGAGTCTTCTGTCTGAAAGCAGCCGAAAAAAGCAGTTAGCAGCCTTGCATTTGCTCTGCCAAGGGATTTTGCCAAGAAACTGGCTCTTCCCAGCACCGGTTTCCCAGGTGGCATCAGACGGGCCACGTTCCTGACCAGGTGATTCATTTTCCCAGCACTCGACAGCCAATGGCCTCTTTCACACAACCCCTGAATCATGTGTGCTTGTACTCCCCAGAACCCCCCCCCCGATTTCTTCTGATTTCTGCCCAAATAAATGACGATTCTTGACCAGATGAAGGTTCAGAAGACCAAAGGCTCCTGAATGGGGTTGTGGTGGGGAGCCTGCCTGTTCTCAATGGGGCTGCACTCCAGAAGGGGCTGGTGATTTTGGAGGGGTACCTGGAGACCTTCTGTTCAGTGGAGGGTCCACTTTCCCAAAGGACAATGTCACCCCCCCCCACCAAGTTCATCTCCTGAAAACCTCTTGCCGAGATGGCAGTTTTGGTGCTGGGGGCTGCCCTCCTTCTCGGCCCAGGATTGGGCTGGGACTCCTGACCAACCATTTGCTGCCTTCCTTTAACCACCATTTCAGAGGGAGATACAAACAAAACCTCCTCTCCATCATGGTTCTTTTGCAACTGCCAAGATCTGCAGAACACAATCTCACCTGGAGTGGCCCTCTACCTGGAGCTTGTCCTTTAAATGCCTCTTGCAAGAGCCTGAAGATCTGTGTGTGTGTGTGTGTGTGTGTGTGTGTGTGTGTGTGAGAGAGAGAGAGAGAGAGAGAGAGAGAGAGAAATTTGCTTTGGTTTTAAATGCTGGCTTTCAGCCAATTAATTACTATGCAATCTGCCTTGTATTTTAAACTGTTTACTCTGTTCTTTTATACCGTTTTCCGTGGTTATCAATAAAGGAAGCAGTTGGTTACTTACATGAATCAATAAAACTATTTTGTAACTGGGAAGGTGTAAAGTTTTCCTTGTTAGACCTTTCTGAGCAGAGCATGGAAAACATTGAATTATTTATTGCATGCCTTTCTTGTCCTGCCACTCTTCCAGGTAGGTAAGCCCAATAGATCTGCCCCCTTCCCACTTGAAGCCACCTTGTGAGGTAGAGTCAGATGATAGCAACTGGCTGAATTAGAATTTGAAGCAGGTCTCTCAAGTAGGACTAAATCCAGTATTAGGCACAATTTTGTTGAAGTCCCTTTTCTGACCAAGCAGTTTCACTGAGGGACTAGACTGGTGCAGGCTAGATTGATGTAGGACATATGGCAATTGATATGCCATATCAACCTAGCTCACAAAATCCTCTGACTTTTGGCTGGTGGGAAACAGCGCTTTTCTTCTAGGGCTACCTTGGCTCTTCTCCAACAGTATCTTTGTTCATGAGTGGTGACTGTTTTAGTGGCCTGCCCTGTTGCAAAAATCACATGTTTGCACCAAAGACGTTACCCGTGCCTTGTGCCAATAAACGGAGGAAGCGAAATGGTTCAGTGGGGAAATGAAATAATTCACCCTGCATTCATCATCCTGAAGAATGGTATCTGTGCTGCTGTTGACTCACCCCTTGGGGTGCTCTGCCTCCTGCAGTGTCATTGCAGAAATGCAGGTCGTTGCTCCATTGAGTTTTCTCAGCCCTCCTGAGAGGAGGACAAGGAGGTTGAAATTCCACCAATGGGTCCTTCCCCCTTCAGCAAGACAAAGGCTCGGCTACTCTGGAAAGGGAAAGTGTTCCCAAAGAGCCAGAGGCCCCTTTGGCCGAAAGTTCCTTCTGTAAGGACCTTTGTGAGTTGTTCTGTAACATTCATGAACTGGAATCTGGACCTCCTCCTAGGAAGGGAGACCTGGAAAGAGTCCCTTAGGATCTGCTCCATCCAACACCTGAGTGAAGCCACTCTGGCTTCTTTCTTCTCTCCTCCTTCACTAAGCTGCTGGTTTATGGTTTCCTTTCCCTTCTGAGTTTCTGAAGACACTCTTTGCGTTGTCATTAATCTCACCTTATTTTTAGCTTTCCTGGCCCTCCTTCTGCAAAGGCGTTTCTGTACCTATTTCTGGGGTGACCTCCTTCCACTTGCCACAGGAGTCCTTTCCACAAAGCCAACAGAGAGATTGGCTGCTGCTGTCTCCCCCCCCAGTCATTTTAAGTCTTCAAAATTATCTTTTTAGGACTCTTTGAAAAAGCTCGTCCCCCCTCCCAAACTCAACTCTTTCCCTACGAGTTCCTGTCTTGGAATTAATTTGAGTGGATGGCACGTGAGACCTCTCTGACATTCAAAATCCAGGAAATTAAATTTGTATTGTGTCTCCTCTGAATTATGTTCCTGCTCTTCTCCTCTGTTGACAAAGAATCTTTGCAGATGTTTCATCTCCCCTCCCTCCAAACCAGCTCTGTATCCCTAGCAACTTCAACATGACACGTCATCCAGTCCCCATGGCAACCATTGCTTGGGCAATGACATCATGGCATGAGTAGGGCTACATTCCCTGAAAGTCAAGAGGAAAGCCCTCAGAAGCAAGGCAGGATTGGTGGTCTGATGGAGCATGTGAAAGCGGGGAAGCAGACCTAAGCGCGAGAACCCATCTCAACCAAGGCTTAGAAGGTAGCCAGACAAAGACACTGTTGGCAGAATGGAGAACCCTTCAGAGGCCCTGCTGACAAGCCTAACAAAATGCCTCAGATCCATGATGGTTTCTTTTTCTGGAATGAACTCTATGTGGAAACAGACCCCTCACCAAGCACCAAATCAAGTACTTCTGAATGTTAGCTTTTCATTAAAACCCTGAAAGATGAGGCAGGAGGGTGACTGTATGAATGAATCCCCATGTGCAAACACAACAGAAGGATTTATGGTTCCTTCTGAGGGATGTTGGTGATCAAAGCTGTCCTAGAAAGCCATTTTCTGGATTTCTTCCAGCAGCCATTTCAGTTTTGCTCTCCCACAGCTACATCCAGGTTGTATAAAGAGATTTAAACATGGACAGAGGCAAAATAAACTCTTCTTCTAGCATTTGACTTTGATGCCCAAAGGGGCAGGGAGCAGAGAGGGAAGGGGCAGCTCTTGTGTGTCAGAAGTTTGGAATAAACATAAAATAAGGTTCTCTTCAAAGGTACCTCTTGGATATCACCTCAGGGAACTTTTTTTTCTTTTTTAGAAAAGAATTGGTAATGAGGCTAGACACTTTTTGATCAAGATGAACCTCATCTCAAGTCCAAAGAAGAGTTGGAGTCCGAAGGACACGTCTGTCATGGGTTAAGATGTTTACAACTGAAGGAAACATTCAACCTGGACCAAAAATGTTAGAGGGTTGACTCTGTAAAAAATGAATTTGAAATTATATTCTGTGGTAATGATGAACATGTTATTGCCAAGGTTTATGGTTACTGAATTTGAACTTGGAAAATGGGTATGTGAAAGTTAGCATGATTCAATGGGCAAAGAATGGAAGTATAATATAATGCTTGAACAATGGGAAAACGTGAAGGGTTTAAAATTTACAATGTATTATAACTTAAAAGATTTTTTTTAATAAAATGACATATTGGTGTTTCAAATATATGTTGGAAATGTAAAGAAGAATCTTTTTACCATCTTTGGTGGGCTTGTGACAAAGCGAAGAAATACTGGGGTAAGGTTCGTATTTTAATACAGACGACCCTCAAAATGAAAATAGAACTCAAGAAGTGAGTGGAAAAGGAACTTGAAAAAAAAATCAGGAACTTTGTTGATGTATATGCTGACCACAGCGAGAGTGGAAAGATGCACTAACTTCCCCAATGGAAGAATGGCTGGAAAAACTGATGAGAGCTACGGAGCTGAGATGGCCACACTAGCTGCTTTAATCAAAGAAAAAAAAACCATCTACTTTTGTTTCTACTTGGAAACTCCATCTAAACTTTGTTCTGGGCTTGGGGGGGAGGTTGATTTTGGGATTTGCTGATTAGATAAGTCTGTTGTTATAGAAACAGCTAGTGGACACTAAGTATGCAAAAGTAAAAAGTTGTGGCTGTAATGTTATTATCTTTGTGCTGATAAATTCTGTCAGGAAATTTCAAATAGCTGGAAGGGACCTTGGAGGTCTTCTAGTCCAGCCCCCTGCTCAAGCAGGAGAACCTAATGCTTTCCTCCCTTTAGCCCACACTTCTTTTCCTCCTTTCTCCTTCCCCGTTATCTTTATTTTAACCTGTATTTTATATTTTGATATCATAAAATTATATAAAAACACACCACAATGCTAAACCATAGAGCTCTGTCTGTGCAGCAGTACATTTGGCCAACCACACAGAGATGCACTAGGCGCATGGTGAGAGCACAACAAAGGAGAGCAGTAGTGAGGTGAGAATGGATGGAGAGCTGGGATCCCAAAGTTCTTCCGATGGCTTCCTCTTCCTGCTGATTGACATTCAAAGTGAGGTGATCTTCCTCATTCCACGGGTCCAGCCCTAGAATACCTGCACCCAACGTTTATCTGGCTAGAAAGCAGCCATTTCGCAGCCTTTCTTGTAAGCAACTTCAGATGCATCCATTACGCTGCTTTTCTTCGCCTCTGGAATTCTTTAGCCAAACAGCAGCAATGACCCTTTTTCGTTCTTGTTCTCATGGAACATCAGCAGAGTTTTTGGTCAAGAACTTACCTTGGGAAGCCGAGACATCCCTGTGTTCTCTGTTTTCTCCTTCTATGCTTTCCGTTTTTCCAGCTTCCTTTCATTCTCATCAGCTTTGGCTTTCTGCTCGATGCTGCTGATGAGTCACCAGAAAGATTCCCTGGCACTTCCTTTCTCCCAGGCTAGATAACAGGTTTCTTCTCTCTCCATCTGAAAGAAGCTCATTCAGCTCAGTAACCTGTAAATGCACACAAAATTGTTGGCAATGTCATTTTTAGAGGACAAAACTTCTCTCTAAAAATACACATGCAAACTCAAACATGCATGATTGTACCTTATGGCTGTAATCATCCATGACAATTTTATAGCTACAAATACAGTAGATCAGCTGTTGAGTAGTGGAATGTATTTATTGCCAACAATTACCCCTAGAGTTCAAAACAGCCATAAAAAGATCAACATTAAGTGGAGTTTAGCTACTTGATCTTCCATAAATGCTATAATTCAGTTCTTTGGGTGACTTTCTCAGTACTCAGTACAATGGAGAGAAAAGTAAAGTCTTACACTTAGGCAAGAAAAACCAAAAGTACAGATATAGACTGGGTGAAACCAGGCTTAATAGCAGTAACTGTGGCAGGGATTTTGGAGTCTTAGTGGACAACCAGTTAAATATGAGGCAGCAGTGTGCAGTGGCAGCCAAAAAAGCCAACACAATCCTAAAATGTATTAACAAAGGAATATAATCAAGATCAAGTGAGGATGCTGCATCCAGTTTTGGTCACCAAACTATAAAAAGGATGTTGAGACTCTAGAAAGAGTGCAGAGAAGAGCAACCAAATTGATTAGAAGATTGAAATATATGAAGAATGGTTTCAGGAACTGGGTACGTCTAGTCTAATGAAGTGAAGGATCAGGGGAGACATGATAGCAGTCTTCCAATATTTGAGGGGCTACCACAGAGAGGAGCAGGTCTAGCTATTTCCCAAAGCCCCTTAAGACCAGGCAAGGAATAACAGATGGAACTGATCAAGGAGAGATTCAACTTAGAAATATGGAGAAATAAGAAGAACCATGAACCCATGGAACAGAAGTTGCCTTCAGAAGTTGTGGGAGCTTCATCACTGGAAGCTTTCAAGAAGAGACCGGACTGCCATCTGTCAAAAATGGTGTGGGACCTCCTGCTTGGGCGGGGGAGTGTGTGGAATAGATGATCTACAAGGTCCCTTCCAACTCTATTAATCTATATCTGTAAATTTACTACCAACATATACATGACACGCCTTTATAATCAAACCCTACTCTCACCAAAGTCACTCTGGAGTAGTATGCTCCTGGCTACAAACTACTACTAAGAGCCTCTTCACCAGATACCTTGTGAACACACACACACAACACACACACAGTGCTTTGGGCCATTAGTTTCATCCAAAACTGGCTTGCTCTGAGGCTGGATCCCTTCCCAGCTTTATGCCTGCCTTCATTCCCTGCTTGCCTCCAGTTCTACTCGGTCAAGGAAATCTGTAATCTCCCAGTATTTCTTTCAATTCAGGGTTTGTGAGGACTTTTCTTTAATAAGGTGACCAATGATGTCCATTCTTTTCCTTCTCCTAGCCGTCGTCTGCTAGGCTTCCTACTGCCTCCATATTTGAAGGAGAGTGAAATTCAACAAAAAATAAGACAGCTCCTTTCTGATTTCCTTTTTCATCCTACTCTTTTATCTCTTTTTCTAGCCTGTATTATTTACTTCTTTAATCACAAATAGTCTTTTTATAAGCATGCATTTGATCCTTTGGTGGTGGTGGTGGTGAAGAAGAAGAAGAAGAAGAAGAAGAAGAAGAAGAAGAAGAAGAA